CAACCTCTCTGGGCAGCCTGTTCCAGTGCTCTGGCACCCTCACTGTTAAAAAAAAAAAAATCCTTAAGTTCCTGTGGAACTTTTGGTGTTTCAGTTTCCAGCCGTTTCCTCTAGTTCTGTCAGTGGCCACCAGTGAAAAGAGGCCAGCCCCATCCTCCTCACTGCCTCCCTTGAGGTACTTCTAGACACTGCTCAGGTCCCCTCTCAGCCTTCTCTTCTCCAGCTGAACAGGCCCAGCTCCCTCAGCCTCTCCTCACAGGGCAGATGTTCCAGGCCCCTGATCGTCCTCGTAGCCCTGCGCTGGACTCTCTCCAGCAGCTCCACATCCCTCTTGTCCTGTGGGGCCCAGAACTGGACACAATACTCCAAGGTGTTTCTCAAGCTCCCTTTGCAGGCGTTACACACAGCAGATTTCATTTAAAACACGGTGCCAAACTGCTCACATTCAAACCCACCGCCTAGGAACAAAGAGGAGGAATGATTTGCTCTCCCTCCAACATTTTCTCCCTCCTTTTTTCCCCTCTTTGCTCTTAGTGACTTGTAACTCAGCTGAACTTGCTCAGGTTGGGAACACTTGTGGTCTTCCTAAATGTTCCATGACCCAGGTCTGCCAGAGCAAGTCCAAGTCCGTTCACAGGCAAGGCTTTCCTCAAGAAGCTGGAATCCAGGAAAACCACTTTGACAACAAAATTCTTGAAGGGCAATGGCAAGCGGAGCTAGGGATGACAACAGGCAAGTGAACAAGAAGGAAATCCCAGCTGGTTTTAATTCCCTGCACAGCAAGAGACCAGCAGAGTGCCAGGGATGGATGTTCTCCATCGGCGAGACACGGGAGCACTTAACGGAGGAGCAGGATGACAGGAATAGCCGGGATCAAGTCCCTGAGCAGAGGAACCAGCCACGAGGCACAGACAGGGCATCTCAGACTGCCAAGCCCCGATCCCAAGGTCCCTTCTCGCAAAGGGTCCTGTGATCCCCACCACCACCTGCTCCCAAAGCTCCTCCACAGCTATTTGGGATGGAAGAGGATCTGGTGAAGTGTCTAATTAGGATCAGATGAGTTTTCTTCCGAAATCCCATTGCCACAGTTGTCACCAGTGAATCAGACGCGCCGAGCAATAACAAAGGAGGCAGCCGGTTGCTTCCCACATGGAAGGCGACACGAATGATTAGTTGGGGCTGAATAACAGATTTTAACTCGATACAAGCGGATGTGCTTCACTGTGTCCCCCGTGCACCGCTCCTGGAAGCTCATGGAAAATGCTAAGCTTGGACTGCATCCCACGGCAATCACCGCTTCCAAAATCAGTAATACAAACCAAAGGAGAGGGGAATAAAGCTAAGGAATTAATGGAAAAACTCATAGTGTCTGGTGCATCTACTCAGTAGTTACCAGCAGCAGAGAGCACCAGCTTCAAAGGTGAAAGGAAAAAAATTTCCTTTTGATTTTTCATTTTAAACCCCAAAGCCATCCGAGAGACAGCTTTACTTTTCCTAAATTAAGCCATTGCCAATAGAGGCACTGGCCATCAGGGCAGTGTTCAGACTCCTCTTATCATGGGAGGAGAGGAAGAGCAAAGGTATTAAGGAATAGATCCTAATAGATCCTATTCCCTTCTAGCTATGCACTTGCCAAGAGTATTGTCCAGGGGAAGAGGGGAGAACAAGACTGCTTTTATAGAAAACAGATTAAATGGTAACACGCAAAATAAATACTCAAAAAGCACAGAGGCTGTTCAACATTAAAAAGAGAAAACTTCCAACTGTAATAAAACCCAGAACAACGGCAAAACAAGAGCTAAGGTTCAGAAAGGGGTCGGCATTTGGACACATGCAGAGATGGATGCATTAAGCACCCAGATTGATCTTTTCGAGATCTTTCCACTAATCTTGGAAATCTTCTCTTTTGCAAGAAATACAGAAAAGGCTGCTCATGAAGCCCTTCGTCCGACCAGGCCTCTGTTTGGAATGGAGGTGACCTGAATTCACTTTAGAAAAAAAGTCTTAAAAAAACACAACCACAGAGATTCCTCTAGTTTCTAACTTTCTAAAGAAGAGACTTGCACAAGTTTAATCAATTTAAGAGTTAATTCAAATAAGCCTCTTCAGCAGACAAGTTCCAGGACTGGTACCTGCAAAGAAGAGATGCATTTCCATTTAATTATGTTTTAATCAGATGATTCACATCTCCTACCAAAATGTTTAATGCAGGTTTTGGATCTAGTTTTGCTCCAGCATTAGCAGCACGCAATGAGCCTACAAGACAAATGAAAACTTTAGAGGATTTAGAGGAAGATGGAAACACTGAAGCCTCTGCTAACTAAAAAAGTTATTTTTTTCCTTAAAAATAGCAAAATCAAAGGGCTCAGTCAGCCTTGGATTATAGAAGTGCTAATGTTAAATAAAGCCCGGCAAGAGACCAGCACTGTCAAAAGCTCCAAGTCACAGGGCTCTGCTCTAAACTCTTTGATAGCAAACAAGGAAAGCAGAAGCCTGATAAGCAAAGCCAGGGTAGATCAATGGTAAAGAGGTCTTAAAAGCTCCTTAGAGCTGTAAAAAATGACTTTAAAGTGAAAAAATAGAGATTGGAAAAGCAGACTGCTTCCCAAGCTCCAGACCTCGGAGCAAAGAGCTGCTACCTCGAGGCAGCCGAAGGGGAGGTGGGTTCACGAGGCCAAACATCTCCCTGGAATTTGGAGGCTCCTTTTCCTTGGTCCTTATGGAAGAAACGGCTCCATTGACCATATGGAGTCTCCAAAGATGTGCTTCATTTATTTAAAAACACGTGAGAGACGGTAGCTTTCAGAGAATTAGAATAATTAAGGGAAAAAAAATAGCTAACAGAATGAAGTTGAAGGATTGTGACAGGGACGTAACGAAGGAAACGTCTAATTTAGGACTCAGTGGAAACTTGCTTGCTAGATATCAGTTAGAGACTGACCCATTAACACCCTGTTAAACACCCTCTTTTAGTGCTCCAGTAAGTGACTGCTCAGTTGGCCCACACTGTCTCCATTAGAAAGGATTCCTAATTTAATACCTCTCGGACAAGAGATACTAGAACATGAGAGTAAAATCCCTGACTGTCTCCATTAGATTCCTAATTTAATACTTCTTGGGCAAGAGATACTAGAACATGAGAGTAAAAAAGGAGAGGATTTATGGAAAGCCTAAATACAAAATAAATAAAAATTTAATATCCTTAGCATCAGCAGGTTGAAGTTACAGAGCACCTTCAGTGCTCAACACGCCTAGAACTGCAGCACGGATCAACAGTCCCTATTGGCTCTGCTGCATTTCTCTGCCACGTTACAGTAGCTCTGTAAAGTTATACAAGGGGAAAATAAACTCTGAAGTACAAAGCCAGCACTGAATGTGCAAAAATACAAGGCAAGAGGCACAAAGAGATGTTTCAAAGAACAAAGGAATTTGCTTTCCATTGATTATCCTCCCTTTAACACGGAGGAGAAAACGCTGGCATCAATTCCCTGCTAGGTTAAACGAGAAGGGAGTACCTGCTATTACGACAGCTTTTTCTTTTAAAAGGCGGAAAAAAAACGTATTACTTAGCTGAATTCATTCGTAAAAAATAAAAGCAGTGGTGTTGCATACAAAGCTGTTTTGAGAGCCTGCCTGAAACCATCCTTTTTCTTATCATGAGCACACTGGCAGGAAAAAAATAATAATCTCTCCATCGTCGATAAGCTCCCAGTGGAGAGCGAAGGCTCCGGCTCCTGCAGCACTTCATTCTTCTCCCAAAGAGAAGTTTCCCTAACCCCTACGCCGCCTCCTTATCGGCTCCCAGGGAAATCGTGCAACGCTGTTTTCCTGCAGTGTTTTCCTGCTGTTTTCCCTCCCTTTCCTGGCCAGAGGCAGGAGGATCCCGACATCTCGCCAGCCCCGCACATCCCTTTGAATTAGAAGGAAAACATGAACCAACCTCGTAGCATCTCCTCACCAGGGCTGGATACGAGGCTGAGCCGTAGCCGGAGCATCCTGCAGGAGGGAAGCAACCTGCATCCTTTGGGAGCAAAGCTGACGAGCAAAATGACATGAAATATTCCTTTGTACAAAGTCAGATCAAGAGCTTCCAAGCCAGAGGGGTCTTTTCTTCAAGTCTGGCCTCACATTTTTGCTGAAATCTCTTCTGAAACTGGAAGGCAGGGAGGTTCTGACACGCTGCCCACCCGCATCACTGAGCTGCAGAACCATCCTCATGGTTTAGATTCCATCTGCTGCCTGCTTGCTTCCCACAACCTTTCTTTTCATTGCTTTTTTGTTTGGCTCTTGAAGGAAAATTACTGTCTGCAAGAAAAGCATTCGAGAGAGGGAAGAGGCTACAGAAGTTGGGAAGAATGATCTACTCTGAATAAACAGGGAATGACTGTCAAAGTCTCAAATGATAATTAAATGTCAGATTTCACTCAGATTTGTCACATCTGAGCCCAAGAACCTGTGTTGTCACAGAGCAGAATGCTCCTCCTGTGGAGAGAGCAAATCCTTTGCCTTTTCCTTGCCTTTTTCCCAAGGGAGAGCAGCCATGCAGCAAAGGAAAAGCCAGGATGCACCCAGCAGCAGATCCAGGTTTCTCAGGGTGGCTTTTCCCCCTTATAAAACATATTCTTGGGCATTTGGGGAAATTGGTGAACTATATTCATACAAAATCAGCCTCTGATCTTAATAGGCGGTTGCAGAAAGGACCTCAGCACCATCCCATGGAGCTAAAAAGCACCACTGGCCCCAAGCTCAGGGTTTCCATGTGCAGGTGGCATCCAAGGTCAGCAGAAGCACTTGGCTTCTAACCTTCACGCGAGAAGTCGATCCGATAAAAATGTTTCTAAACCTCAAGGACAAACAACAGGTTTATTTTTTTAAAGCCAGATGCATTTTGGGAAAAAGTACATTGTACACATGCAGCATATTTTCTACCAAACTATATTTAAAGTGTGAGGAGGCAGGTCCAAATTTCTTTAAAGATGAGGAGACTGAGAATTAGGAAATAAATGCATGCAAAAGCTCAAACAGCTTTTCACTGCTAAACAATCTCTACACATACACCAAATAAGCTTTATACCAAGATGATGGCAGCTCATCCATAAGCTCCCGACATCCCAAACTTCACAGTTGGCCACAGGCTCCCTTTTAAGGAGGCCCACCAAGGTGCTCTCCACCTTTTTGTGAAGTTTTTGTTATGAAGTCTTCACATTAAACATTAAAGTGCTCTATCTTTAGCAAAGCTGGGGTTCTACTTTCCCTCCTTTCTACCTGGTTCAGGCTGCTTCAAACGTGAGTTCACTGAATTGTTTTTTTTGCTCTGTCTCATGGGGCAAGGCAACTTGCAGCTGAGACCCCCAGACTGGAGCTTTCATCACAGCTAATGCTCTGTAAGCTCCTGTTTGGCTGCTTCCACAAATTCACAGCGTTTCTTTTTAACCGCAGCTTGATGGATTAGAGGTTACCACAAACACTGAGTAACCTGAAACAAATCAGCACTGAAGATCTACTCCAGCTGAAACTTCCAGTGCTGGCAGCAAATAAGAACAAGGATCATGTTCTGCCAGGCTACAAGAAGAAAACTCTGCCAAAACAGACTGCTGGAATTGAACTCAAACCAAACACCAGACCCCTGGGTCTCGATCCAAACCTACAAGTGGCTTTAATACTCTCAATTTTAGTTCTAGTTAAGCTCACATCTTGCAAGCGTTT